ATCGGATTTGTTGAGAGCACCGCTGAACCGTGCTTGTACATCCTGGACGACGGAGATGTGCTCCTTTTCGTTTATGTGGATGACATTCTGCTGACCGGGGAGGGCGAAAACAAAGTGCTGAGCATAGTCGATCAGCTGAATGAGCGTTTCGAAACGGTGGACCTGGGAGGAGCCAGGTTCCTGCTTGGTATGGGAATCAACCGAGACAGAGCCGCAGGGACAAATCTTTTGGAACAGGAAGCGTATACCAACGCAGTGTTGGACAAGTTCGGCATGGCCGACGCGCGTCCGACGACATCTCCGTCTGAGGCTGGACCGGTGTCCGTCTTGGAGGACGAGGTGTTGTCAGCGGAGGATACCACATATTTCCGCTCCGCCACAGGCTCGCTTCTATATCTCAGCAGGTGCACAAGACCCGACATTACTCACTCCGTGATAGTCCTGACGCGGAGTATGGTGAAACCAGGTCCGAGAGCGATGCAGAAACTCAAACGCGTACTCAGGTACCTGAAAGGGACTATATCAATCGGCGTACGCTACGGCGAGGATGCCCAAGATGGAAACGTCATTACGGCGTTTGTCGACTCAGATTTTGCAGGCGACCTAGACAAGGGCTACTCCACCACGGGAGTCGTGCTGTACTTCGCTGGTGGCCTTGTGGAATGGACATCATCCAAGCAGACGGTGGTGGCGACCTCTTCCGTTGAAGCAGAGTTCGTGGCTTTGTCAAAGGGGTGCAACATCATCAAGTACTTCCGCCACCTGCTGGACACCATAAATCAGACTCACGAAGAAGCAACCGTAGTGTGGGAGGACAACTCGGGAGCTCTGAAATTAACTCGCAGCTTCCGTATCACCCCAAGGACTAAGCACATTGACGTAAAGTTTCACCACGTAAGGTCGCTGGTAACTGATGGAGTCGTAGACGTGAAGCAAATATCGACGTCGCTTCAGAAAGCGGATATTTTTACGAAAGGGCTAAACCCGTCGGAGTTTCTCCGCGCCAGTGGCATGCTGTTAGGAGTTTGATCACCTCCCCTCTTCGTAATCAGACTTTATGCCTTGAGGGTTGGATGGTGTATATGTGTGTATGTGTTTGAACAATATTCTGGAATTTGTGTTGGAAGGAAAACATTCGCTGCTGATGCAACGAAGCTGAGAAAGGCAAAACAATTGATATTGAGTCAGAAGTTCCGAAGATAGCATTGTTTCGAGAGGACAGTCAGTGAGAGAGAATTAGATCTGATGCATTAGTAGAATGACGTAGTTCTTGAGAGGACATGTTGGAGTAGTTGCAGTACAAGAACGACTCTATTCTACTGCATGGGTTTATGCGGTATTGTGAAGGCGTTGCCAAGTCTGTAACCGTCAGGTGAAGACAGCTTGGGCGTCTGTGTGGATAATAAGATCACTCTGTGTGTTTGCCTACCTAACCTCGCATCACATGCCAGCTACTTTGTAGCCACAGCTAAAGGAATAGCTGTACAGCAACTGCAGTGACAGTGCTGTTGCCTCAACGCCGGACACANACAACACCAGTGACAGTGCTGTTGCCTCAACAGTTCCTGCCTGAGGTATTTTTATCGCGAGAAGGGTACAGCAATCCCTTCCCTCGCGACTTACGAAGTCGATCATGGTTTACTAACAACGAACTTTGCAGCGCGTCGCTTTCATCCTAGAAGACCAGGATTAATTTAGTGAGAAAAAAACTCCCTCTGCCGGGACTCGAACCCATGACCAGGCCCTTGGCAGGCGACGAGGTTACCGACTAGACCACCGGGGCGACCGGCTACATGTAGATATCTTATTTGTAGATACGTTTAGACTTATGAGTACAATAGCTGCATTCACCTGCCGCTGCTCTCGTCACCCTTCTCCCCTCCCCGCCCTTTCCGTTGTGTGTAGAAAGTAGAAAGTCACAATATAGCGCTCCCTCGGGGATGAATAGTTTTGTCGGCCTTACGAATGACATATGCGGTTAAGGTTGTCGGAGAGCGCCCTCTCCACGTTGTTGTTGTTGTTTCGGTCGCGAATGCTCGCCCGAGTGACCACGCGCCGGCCATACACTGTACAGCCGCGTACCATATATCAATCAATTCGAAAGAAAGTCTCTTGACGCCTGTTTTCGGTGCGGTGCCGGTGTATCGCTGTTTTTCGTGTTGGCAAGCGTGCGACGAAACCAGCGTTGCCCTGAACGCTGGAGGACGCGGGGTCCAGCTCGCAAGGAAGGAGAGCATCACGCAGACGTCATGCAATTTGGCCCGGCGACACCCCCTACCTCAGCCCATCGTCAACGCGCTGCATCGCCGTGGTCTGAGAATCTCGAATAGTCTCGTTATAGCAGATGTGGGTGAAAGATGGGGGCATGCGTTGCTATAGTGCTGCTGTGGAATGACGTCCAAGAAATTTTTTTGGTTCCCCGTGAACGGCTGCAAATCCGAGGGAGAATGCGTACGTGGGGCGAATGCGGAGGTCGACCAGTGGAGTTGTTATCTTGTTTGTGACCGTGGAGCTAGATGAAGAAAACCGTGGTCATGTCAATTGACAATTGAACACCCACCCTACATATTATAGTGTGTCTTCGTCGTGCCGAACTTTGGTAGTCTCTGTAACACGTCACATCTCGGGGAAAACGTCACATGCAAGGGGTACCAGCCATGTGTTTTATGCTTTCGAGAGGCAACCCTGATTGTCGTGACTGCTGTCCTCGGAGACAGCCTGACATCAGCCTGGAAAGCAAGAGGAACAATCTCCCATGTTGCATTCCTGGTATATCTTTTTGTATGCACTCACGGAACGGAGAGCGCAATCCCTGACCTCGCAGTTTCTCGTGTACCGCCCTTCGTGTTATCGACGACTGCACAGGGAGAAAAAAATGATCTTTTTGCTCTACTGGAGTGGTCCGACACCAGCGAAAGTCAAGAATGCAACAAAAATCAGAAAAAATAGGGGGCACACAATGATGTGCGTAGACGCAAGGAAGCTTACCTACCCCACTCCATTGGCTTTCTGTTTGGTACGCTTACTACTGTCTATGCATTTCCAGTGGGCACGGGCAGCCTTGTGGGTGTGGTCGTACGAGCAGCACCCCGTTGCACATCAACACCCCTGACTTACTCCCGTTCGTACAAAGTTCTGTGCAAGTGCAGCCGCTTCTTGATCTCTTATCGTATTTAGGTTTCATGCAGTGCTAGACATCCTTCAGCTTGACGCTATCCCACGTCTCCGTTATTCCCGTCCTTGCCAGCAATACTCTCGCTACACTTGGCCATCGGAAACGTCGCCATCACCTCGTCCCCATCAGCCCGCTCTACTCTCGCAGCCTTATCAACTCCGACACAGCACCATCCAAACGCTTGTACCCTGTCAAGCGAGGCATTCATCCGTCCTTTCGCCATGTCCTGCGCCTCCCTGTGCAACATACGAACCCACATCGTCTATATCTGACAAACGCTGGTCAAGGTCTGTTCTACCTTGGCCTCCATCACGCGTCGCCAGTGATTGTTGCATGACTTGGGGTCGTGTGTGCGATCCTTTCTGTTGGTCGGCAATGTCTACACCCCCCATTTCCCGAACATAGTCCTTGCGTATGCTCGGCTGATCGGTATGCAGTCCTTTCCCTTCGCTCCCAGCTTTCCGCATCCTTCCCATGCACTAGAAAAAGCCCCATCGGAATGAACAGAAAGGGGAGATGAACACATTTCGCACGAAGCAGAGAAACAGTGACGTAGGGCGTAATCGCCCTCCCTGAAGAAGGGGCCTCAATTCGGGAATGTTTGTAACAAAAACACACAGCATCACGGAGGGACTAGATTCTACAGTGCAGGTGGGAGTGCCAACGAGAAGGACACGAGAAGGAAGGGCGAATCACGTCAAGAAAAAAAAACACACACACACCAACTTCCACCAGGGCCAATCGGTTGGGATCTCTGCGACAACGATAGTGGTGAGATAAATTCTTTTGGGAGTGACGAAGACGAAGGAAAGGGAAAAAAGGAGGATGACGACGATGGAGCAGAAAAACATGGAGGAGTGGAAGAGAGCAAAGGGTTTGAGCCAGATGACCTTCCCCACAACAAGAAACGTAGGGCTAGGGAAGAACTGCCCAGAGATTCTTCTTGTCGAAATGAGGATCAGAATGATGGTAGCGAAAACAAGGAGGACACTGGTGAAAGTACTCCTAAACGAACTCGAGTACTAGGTAATAGCCTTGGTAGACGCGTGCATTTTTCGTCTGTTGCTGCTGTTTCTGTTTTTAATCCGAAGGATAGTTTAGCCTCCCCCATGCTGCCCCCTCACGGGGTCCCAGTTCATGGTAGATAGAAGTGTTTTGTGTTTTCAACCGCACTAAGACTGACGTCTTTTCATTGGTCAGCCGGTTAGCGCGGTCGATGCTAATAATAAAAACACACACACACTGACGTATTTTCATGGTCAGCTGGTTAGCACAGTCGATATTAGACACACACACACACACACACACATTCTCCCTTGGCCAATTCGTGTGAGATCACCACTTCCACCACGCACGCTCAGTAGCGTGGTGGAAGGT